TTGTGGACCAAGGGCAGATGTAGACAAATAGATCATTTCTGTTATTTTTCACTTTAAAATTTTCAATAAATTTTTACAGACTGTCAAAATTTTGTTATATTTTCATTCAAGACAAAACACTAGAATGTTAAGCTACAAATTTAAAAACATGGTTTTTATGGTTTAAAAGTAACTTCTTAATTTTTGCTTTATTGGCAGCTTTAAACTATGTTTATTGATCGTTTTCAACAATAGGAGATATGTTATGAATAAATATATTTTACTACACACTTTTTTTAATAACTTTTTTGATTAACGAACAATGAACTTATTAGAAGAAATGGACTAGTGGATACACAGGACAACACGGGGCTACTGGAGACGCAGTGGTGGGGCTAGTGCGGACAGATCTATATTATTACAGCTCTTGTGATTCTAAAAAAACTTTTATACTGGTAGTAAATTCACGTTAAGGCTAGAAGAAATTTCTTTTTTCTAGCTATCACTTTAACCTTTAAAGGTCTAAGTAGTCCTCAGTTTTCCTACTGATATATTTGCTTAAGTTTTCTCAGTTTTCTACTGAAATATTATCACTTTTCCTACCGATATATTTTCTTAAGTTTTCTCAGTTTTCTACTAAAATATTATCTGTTTTCCTTCTGATATATTTTCTTATAAATTTAATAAATAATGATTCTAATAAATATATTAAATTAGCCAAGTTTGTTTTTTATTCGTTACGTATAAGAATTTCTTAATAAAACTCTCCGCTTAAGATCTCTGTGATAATAACATGGGTTAATCATTAACGCATCTCTTATTAGTCATTTAATAAATTAGATACATTTTATAAAACATTTTCTTTCTTTTCAATTTTTGCTACAGTTTATTTATTAAATTGGGTACATTTTTGTAGAGTAAAGCATTCCTAATACAACCCGTCGTGAAACGCTGAGTCATGGTGGCTAAGGCTTAACTATTTCATGACCTACAGCATGATTGTGGCAATGTGATCAGTTCAAGTTCAAGCTTACCTCCCAGACAAGCTAGTATCTATCGATCTGAATCTGGGGAGGGGAGGGCTATAAGTCTCCACTGAGGATCGAACCCCAGTTCTTCGCAATGACAGCTTAGTTCCTTAAAATCAAGAGTTCCTGTATAGTTTCAAATTTAATAATGATTTTACTGTAAGATTCTTGTTTTTAATGAAAATGTTGATTATCAATCTAATGTTACGATTTCTTTAGGACAGTTGTATAAAATTCCACATATCTAACAATTATTAATGTCTCAGCTGATATTTAATATTAATTTGTCACATTACTTTATAAAATAAAAACCAAAGTTCGATTTAATTGCCAAAAAAATTCTGATAAATAAATATAAATAATACAATTCGAATGCAGTTAGTCATCTTTGAAATAATTTTTATTTCATAATTGGTATATAATTAATTTATTAATAATATATTTACATAGTTAAAACCTGTATGTTATGGATTCCTACAGTATTTAAAGTGGTAGTGTCAATATGTGAAGAATTTATTGTTTTATTTTGAAAAAACTTGAAAACTTCGCAGCATGATTATCAAGTCCTACGTATTTACTTAAATTGTTTATAAGTCATGGTGGTTAAAGTCATCATAAATTAAGCTTACTAAATCAAAACTAGAATGTTAATGCACAACATTCGCTATCACTTTATTCCGGATAAATCTGCGGTTAAATAAAAGAAATTGACATATTTGGTGGACATTCTGCATTTCTGCTAGGCATCTCATTATTTCTTTACAACAGTCACGTTTTCGTTGTCGCTGCTCGGAAAAGCCATCATACATTATTAAACAGACATTGTAGCAGTGTAAAAGAAAAAATGTTTTTTCTTTTTTTGATGTAACGTAATTTGCACCAATAAAAACAGGAAAAACGCTCTTTATTGACACACAAGTGCATACATACAGTGTACCATTTCTGTTTTCATAACAAACAATCACAAACTGTCTATTTCCTAAAGATGTGCTCCGTGTCACCGTTCTCTTTCCAATAGATCTGTTAAGGAAACTCTAAAATGCTTGGTCTCTTTTTGATTTTTAAGAACTAAATATATAGTTTGAAACATTTTGTTATAAAATTATAGTTTTCTTGTTCACAGCTTCAATAACAGGATTTTGAACGCTGGCACGAGACACATATTTTCCATCACAAATTTTTTTTTTTATTGCAGAAATAAAAAACCAATATATTTTGCTATGAAAACTTATAGGGCATGCTGCATGCGTACACTTTGGGTCCTTAAATTTCTTTCTTGTTTTATTTTGGTTAATTAAGTTTTTTTTTAAATTTTCAGTTTTCTTGTTCCACCATGGTTGCTCTTTTGTCGATTTTTTTTTTGCCAATTTCTTTTTCCAACCTGGGAAAATAACTATGAATAAGAAATATCAGAACCTTATGCTCTCAATCATCAATAAATTTCAATCAATTTAAAAAGTTTTAATTGAACTAAATGCTTAGAAATGCTTACATTAAAAGTATTTATGATTAAGTTTATTATTCATTATAACATTCAAAGTTCTTATCCCTAAATTATAATTTAAGATTTTTCGGTTTCGAAAAAGGATAAACTTACATTAAAAAGAAATTTTCATATAAATGATTTCCAATGAATAAGAGAAGTACAATTCAAAGATAGTTCAAAGAAAGTTTCTTGTTGTTTTATATTATTTTCTTGTTAGAATCAACACTTTCTGTAACTAACAATTTGAATCTGTTACCGAAAATCTGTCCAAAAAAAAGTTTCTTTTAAAAGTTTAAAACAATTTAATATCTTTATTTTCTCTTTTTCAAATAATTTTTTTATCCAGTTTTAAGTAAAAGAGATTAAATGAAAATTTTCTATTTCATAATTATTCTATTTTTTATAATGTTATTCTTTATAAATTTTTAATTGTGATATAAATTTTTAAATGCATTATAAAATTTTAAATGTGTTATTAATTTTTAAATTTGTTATAATTTTTTAAATGTATTTTTAATGTATAACATGATTGTTAAAAGTTGTTCCGGTCGCAAGTTTCAATCGAGTCAGCTGCATTTACAAGCGATTCTTTATTACATTTAATTTTATCAACGAAAGCATCGAAAAGCAATTTCTTACTTGAACACTTTTCAGTCAATGGAACTTTTTCATTTAAAAAAATCTCATTAAAAAAAGTTTTTAAACACAATTATAAATGTGAAAGCTATAAAAATTTGAAACTACGTATCGAATCCATTTATGCAAGGTAGTTTACCTAATGATTTCGGAAAAGACAAACAAATCAAAGTATTAAATTTGAAAAAACAAACATATTTATATGTTTGTTATTTAAGAAATATATATGTAAACGCCAAGAAATATATACGTAAACGCTGCAAAGTTTCGCTAAATGTTAAAAGTTTTTGTATAATGACTTTTATGCGACAATGACAAAAAAGTTAATGTAGTTTTAGGAATTTTAGGTAAAAAAAAAGTTCGTGTCCAACTCACTGCACTCTATCTACCACCTAGCCTATCTACCACTCTATCTATCTACCACCAAAATACCGGTACTTAGAGTGCCGGTACTTTTTACCGTAAAATCCATTTTTACCGGAACATGTTACAGAACAAAAAGTCTGATATCAAGTAATTTGTGCAGTAATAATTACAGTAAAATCACTGAATCACTCGAATTAAAAAATATTACTGGTAAACTAATGGTATAATATTTTACTGTAAAAATGAGTTTTAAGACAAAATATATTTTGCGGATGATGCACCCAAAGTGCCAATACTTTATACTGTAATTTTATTCGAATTCTTTTACTGTGCAGTAAGTATTTAGACACACATACAAATATTTAATTTTGATATTCGTCAGGTCTTTCATCTTTATGTGTGTGTGATATTGGTGTAGCAGTATAAAATACACTACGAGGTTATTAATAGTTTGATTTTGAAAAAGGTATAATCATAGAGTATCACAGGAATGACCGATTCTTAACCGACATATCCAGCGAGTTGAATTATATACTATCAACGGAAGCCTTGTGATTCTGAATCGAAAGTTAAGTGGTGATTGTTGGAAAATGGCCCCCCAGAATTACCAGATCTGTGAAACTGAGGCATTGAGATTAACGCGTGACTTGCAGAAAAATCCAGAAAGATTGCTCCCATACGACTGTCCAGAAGCTCCAGGAGTTTCTACAGACATCCAATACTTCGATGAATACCATCTGTAAGTATTTACACCGGCTGAATTGTGGTCATACTGAAATTTAAAAGCTTTTGATTGAAAAGTTCAACTGCGCTGCTCATTCAATGTAATGCAAAGAGCTAACAGTTGACAACTGATCATTGCAAATGGAGCTGTGGAATGATGAATCAAAGTCCATCTTCTATTGTTATGATGGTAGGGTCTGGTTCTATTGTCTGTCAGAAGAACATCCCCTACAAAAATGTATTGCGTCATGCTAAAATGCGGTGGAGGTTTGATATATTTTTCCTAAAATGGACGAGAATTCTCGGTTTAAATTCATTGTAAACTCAACGGTTATGACAGTGCGCTTTCTGCGTTAAGACAGTTTTTAAGGTTAGAGTCATGTCTCATCCTGTCACGCTGTAAGGTCCACTATGGATTCGTATGTTCACAAAATGGGATTAGCAGAAAAGTCGATTTTGCTTAGGATCCAAAGCTTAACCTCGTGGGGAACCTTCTTGTATTCAAAATTCCGTGGAGGAACTCCGTCATCTTTAAACCGGGTGGGGAAAATATGACCAACTATGCAAGGATTTCTGGAAAGCATGCTGCTCAGAGTTTTGAGACTGATTGTTTCTCTTGAAAACTCTACTAACTATTGAATACGAATACTTTTTTTACTCACTGGTGCCCAAATACTTATTAGTAGAGAGTGTATTTCTCTACAGAAATGAATTATATTTCAAAATGCTCATAAATGAATCCTAAAAAAGGAGAAAAGAACGTTTATAGGGAGAAATCGAAATTGTATGAAAAATAGTTTATTTACAAGAATTTAAAATGATGTTATGTGGCACCGCGCTTAAGAACATACAGATTGTTGCATCACATGTTTACATAGTCTGTTAACCAATGAGAGTTCATGAAATATTAGTGTTCAAAAAGATTATCCTGTGGGACTGGCACAGCAACTATTGTAGAGCTCGCAGCATCCTCTTCTGTGCGACCTCGAGAAAAGTCTGCAAGTGCGCTGACACATTGTTTGGTCGAGGCGTTGAGAAAATGAGGTCTGTGCGTTAACACTCGTCAACTCTACGCATAAAATGCTCGCCACTAACATAAGGACAAGTACAGCTTTCATGGTGCTGTGGGGAACAAAATTTTGATTTTAGTGTTAGCGTCTTGAAATCAAATAACATTTTTAATGTTAGCCATTTCTCCCAATTAAGCCAAAACAATGTTACAAGGGATTAACTTCTTCTATATTAGTATATGCAAAGCATTATGTCTGGACTTATGTCTGCATGTTTCACTTATATTATAGCCAAACAACACAAATCAGAAGCAAGAAAGAGAACGCATCTTAAAGCAAAATGCAGAAAATTACATTTTAAAAAACAGCCGATATGTTTCCAGAGTTGTTAGCAACAGTTGGAAAATTTAACAGCTGTTTTTATCATCAAAAGTATATTTTGGATTATTTGGAAAAATAATTTAGTAATATGTAATAAGAGTGAAGTAGGATATATTAAAACCGGTTATAAGCATAATAGTTGTTAATATGTTAAAGTCAAAAGCAAAACATAAAGTTATAATTCGATTAGTTACATTGTTTCACATTTAAAACAAAATATTGAATAGCATATGTCATTAATTGTTTTCAAATACTGTCAAAACAAATAACAGATCATACAATATATATCCTAATATACATATTTTTAAATTATAGAACAGATCCTAATATATATATTTTTAGAAACCTTGTTGAAAATAAAGTACAAAAACATGCTCATGGGTCACTTATTTTGAGAAAAGCGAGATAAAATTGTCTAAACGATTGACAAATAAAAAGGTTAGGAGTCAAAAGAAGAATATTAGAAACACCTTTTAGTTTCATCGGGCAATCAAGTTTTGGTAGCTATAGACCACCATCTTCAATGGTGATTTGTCAGATTTCGATGGAAGTTTCTTTTTCCAATCCTCCATTTCTAAACTTTTTGTCTTCCTTTTTGACAAGTACGGTAAATATGATGAAAGATTTTAAAAATATTCAAACTCTCTAGTTAAAATCACTAAATAAGCATCATAGGGGGCGAAAATTTAATCATCATTTAAGGAATGAAATTTAACTTTACCCTTCGTCATAAACCAGGAAAAAGTTTGGTTTCAAAGTAAAGAAAAAGAAAAAAAATCACAACAATTGCAAATATTTTTGACCTACCACCCAAATATCACTGAAACTTTCCTCTTGAAAGTTTTTATGAATCACGAAATTTGAAGGGGGAAAAAAATTGTAAACATTGAACATTTTAAGTTTTTTTTTTTCATTATCAAATTTACTATCAGATATTGCGTACAAGTCTCATAAAAAAGGCATTCAAATTTTTTTTTCAACTACAAATATTTTTTCAGCTGTTTAAAAATTTGTGTAAACTTCATCATGAATACTGTTTGTCAAAGATAGGTACTCTGACAGCGACTAAGTCTGCTGCAGTCTGGTGCTATGGAAACAAGAAGAGGGCATTTTAGGGAGGGTAGCTTCGATGAAAGAGGGCTCTTCTCTCGCCGAAACCAATCCTAAAGAGGGATCCCGCCCCCCTACTTGAAATTATCATACCTCGTTACCATAGTCACCGCCACAGTTTCAGACGAATGTCTGGCAGAGTATTTATCTTAGACAAACAGTATTTTTGTTCTACTTCTGCAAAACAAATACGAAATTTCTTTTTCAATGTTTACATTTTGTAAATGCCATTGTACTGCCTATTATTGAGACTGATTACCAATAAAGTGACCAAAAGAAAAAAAGAAAGAAGTTTATCTATATCTCTACCTTTCTTGATATTTTGATGTATGTACTATTCAATAATTAAATTACTTTCTTACTCCAATGCCTGCTTAGCTCATTTTTTTACTTTTCAGCCATTTTTAAGATATTTTATAAAAGCGGGCTCAGCTTTTTGAATACCTTTTTCCGTTCTAATGGATATTTTATCCATTCTAGTGGAGTCTATGAAAAATGTACATATTTTTGTGTAATACTCCTAATTTAAATAGACAACTTACAATTAAAGCTGTTCGGCTAATCACTCAAACTTGTTGAGCTCAAATGCTTTCTTTCAGCCGACGTATTATGAAAGTGGAAAATGTCTCTCGTACATATTTTTGTCTTATGATGCTCCTATTTAATGGATAACTGTTTTAAAACTGAAGCCGTTAAACCAATCACGCATGGGTATACCATCACTATACTTGAATTTTTTTTTCAAAAAATATATGCATTTTTAAAACTTTGTCAAAAAAGAAAATCAATTAAAAAGCTAATAAAAAGATAATTAATAAGTTAAAAGAAGAACGATTTTTAAAATTGTAATGTCCATCAAATTAGGGGTTATTTTTTACATTAATATATTATCATTATTTTATCATATTAACTCGTCAATGCTTTGTGTTTTCATTTGAGGAAAGTTTTTTTTTCTTCTCAGAAGCATTAAAACTGGTATCACAATTATTTCATTGTTAGCTTTTATCTTGAAAAAATAAAACATGCTAACCCACTGTTAAATATTAGTAATATATAGCTCCTAATTTAATCTGTATTCATAAAATTGTAACTTTTTTTTAATCTAAAGTGATAATTGATGAAAAAAAATGTCTTCCTAATCTAAACCTTAATGTACCATCACTCTTTACATAATAGTATTATTTTACCTCTTATTAATAATGTAAATGCCGGGGGTTAAAGTATCAAATATCTATAAAGCAAGCAGTTACTTAATAGTCAATTTAAGCAAAGTTTATTAAGGTTTTGTATCTTAATCTGTTGGATACTTAATTTCTTGAAGGAAAAAAAAACTAAATATGAACTGAAAATATTCTTTGTTAAATGTCTTAGTTTCAAAAATGACAAATCATGAAAAGAACTTTTCGAAACTATAATAAAAGCTTAAAATAATATATAATAATTTATTCATGATAAATATATTAAATTGCGTGTTTTATCATGACATATTATTATTTCTATATGAAAGAAAAATGTCTGGTATAGCTAAAAGTCAAAAACGCGAAATGCAAAAATTATTTTTCTGGAACTGAAAATATTTTACTGGATTTATATAATTGGAAAACATTTTAGTGGGAAATTATTTTACAAGAGATATTTACGAAAACCAAAATAAAAGCTTAACTTGAGTTAACTAAACAAAACAATAATTGTAACAAATGTTTTCATCTACCTTATTTCATTACTAAGAATAAGATTTCCACTATATGCCTTTATGAAAAAGTTGCTTCCAATCATTAGGAATACTTTTATATAATTGAATAGCTTTTATATAATTGGATGCAAAATGTGAGCAACGTAATGTTAATTATAAACAAATTGCGATATTTAAATACAGTACTGAGTGGATTTTGTGCTTGTTGACATACCAGAATACAATATCTTGAGAATTTTTTTTTCTGTGAATCTGAAAAGTTAGAGGATCTTCATCTCCTTGTACTAAAATTTGAAAATAATTATTGGTGTTTTGAAAGCTAGAAAATATTATATTTAAAGTTTTATAAATTTAAAATTTTATAATTCGAATCCGAAATTTTTATTAAAAAATAAGAGATATGGATCTAAGCTATAATAACAACCACGATCGAACAGTAATAGTCAGAATGATAATAATAGAACGAAATAAATGTATCTTACCTAAAAAATTTCAAAATGCTCTTGATCAACTATGAGGCAAATTCTAAATCGTCTGACCAATCTCCCTTATATATGTATTCGATACATAATTCTATTTTTCCTGTCGGTTATTCTTTTAAGTTGAGTGACCCACACTTTGGAGGAAGTAGGAATAATTTCTCGATCCCCCCCTATTTCATAGAATCTTATTTTGAAGTATTTCTTTTTTTCTTGCCGGACCTAGATTTTATAAAAGCAATTGAAACAGGAAGAAGTAATAAACAACTTAAAAGAAAATGAAACTCAGGTAAGAACTAGGCTTGCAAACGATCCAGGCATATTGCCATTTCCAGAGAACATTTTGTTCTTCATTTGCATTTTATTATTGTTCTAGAAGCTTCTTCATTTCGATGATTCTCTCATATTCTAAGTGAAGTTGTTTTCCCACCTTAAAAATCTAGGTCACATTATGAAAATATTTTCACGCTTTATTTTTCAATTGTTTATAACAATATTTGAATGTTGTGAATGTTTACGAATTGGTCTTCTATACGTGACGTAAGAATTATATATATAAGGCTTGAAACTGATTCATTTATAAAAAGCATACTTTCGTTGTCTTTGTATACAATAGTAGATAAATTTTAAAAAGAAATTCTTGGAGAATTCGGTACTAAAGTTCCATAGGCTGTAAGCCATAGCTTGAAAATTTTGATGTAAAACATGGATTACATTTTTGTAAACAGTATCATTGTTGGAAAAAAAGGAATTAAAATTTTTTTTCATTCTGCTATAATTTTGTTTTGATAACATTTAATCAGTAAATGGAACGATAAAGACCGTTAGTAAAATGCCACAACTTCTAATCTTGATATACCTGAAATAGTCATGAAGTTATAAATTAAACATTCATGGAATAAATGTAATGCTACTTTGACAATATTATGTCAATCTAATATTTGACTCGTGTTGCTGTTAATAAAATTTTATATAAATTAAAAATTTAAAATACTTTACATAAAATACATTGTGCTACATTGGATTAATAATAAACTGCTTTGTTGCCGAACTAACTTTTAGTAGCAGAACTATGAAAGTAGCATCGCAGACATTTCAGTTTTAAATATTTTTTGAGCTATGTCTGTAGCAGTTTTTGTTTTTTTATTTTTATCAAGTTCAGACTTCCCCATTATATGAAACACGACATATGTAGAACATTTGTGGGAATATTTAAATGTTTTCAAAGTTAGCGAAACAAGGCCTGATCTAGAGGAGAGAGGGCCCAAGAATGAGAACTGTCTAGGTCCCCCCCCNATATGTAGAACATTTGTGGGAATATTTAAATGTTTTCAAAGTTAGCGAAACATTCAAGGCCAGATCTAGAAGAGTGGGGGCCCAAGAATGAAAACTGTCTAGCCCCCCCCCTGGTTGTTATTTTAAACCAAATTTACGTGTTGTTTCATTATGAACAGTTCAAAAGTTATTATTATTATTATATACGATATGTAAGTAAATTTAAGGTTATACTTAATTCAATTTTTGTTAACTTATATTTTTTATAGACAATTTTTAAAAGAAAACATGAATAGAATGTATTTGTAACAATTAAGGAGCCTTCAGAAATGTGGGGGGCTCTAGGCCTGGACTTTCCAGGCCTTATGACAAATCAGGCCCTGAAAATATTTGTAGATAACAACGATAATAAGGTGAGGAAGAATATTTAGATTTTGTCATGATAAATAAATATTTAAAATAGAATATAAAAAATCTGTATGGTCGAAAACACTGGCTTTGGCAGCTATAAACTTAAACAATGGCCAACCTGAATTAGTCGGAGCTCTAGTTATGATTTGAAAAATTCTTAATGAATTTAAGTTACTCATTTCCGATAACTCCAGAAGAAAGGGTAACTTGAGACGAATTGAAAATGACTGAACGCCGTTAAATGGTGTGACTGTGTGTTAAGTGACGTGTTAAGCTATTAAGTGTTGCATCCATCATCATGTTGAAATTTAAAAATTTGAATTTTAGTGTGCTTAAAAAACAGCAACAACGTGAAACTTGAATTAAAGGGAAAAAGAAAGTGAGAAAATGTTCGAAAACAAATTAAATGAATCAAAGTATTTCTAAAAGAATCTTTTTACATATTAATGCTATGTGAAAAACACCGCTACATCGGACATTCAATGCAACTGAAGAAAATTTTTTAATTTTCAATTGCATAGATATTTCCAATCATTAACTGGAACATCTTGTAATTCTTTAAATCTACGATTTTTTTCTTTAAAATTCAGAAACAAAATTTATGTAAAAAAAAAAAAAAAAGAGAAGCAGAAAGAAAGTAAAAAAATTAGTAGCATCATTGATGATTTCAATCCTTCCGTTCCCCATACTGAACTAAATGGTGATTGGTCAGTGTTTGAAAATGATTTTTTTTTCTTTCTCGCTTTAATATTATTCGTAAAACCTTATGTCCTTAGTTTTTTTTTACTATAGTTAATAATTAGGTGGTTATTATAAAATATACTGTAAAAAGAAATTGTCAGATAACTGCGTTGTAAATGGTAAGCCGGAAAATACAAAATGATAAGAATCTATTTTAAAGGATTTAGAAATATTTGAGCAATATATACTATGCTTCTGGTTCATATTATGCATTTTATAAGTCAAAACTCTAAGCAATAATAAAACAGAAAGTATAATAAACTAAAACCACAACATTTTTATTTACAGAACGTTATACGCGATACGTTTACAGAGAGGGAACTGCTATGTATAACAAAGCCCCAAACAGAGTTCAATGAATATAAATACGCCACCCATTTAGAAATGAAATACTTTGGCTATAAATACAAGTGACCGGGTGCGAATCTCTTCTCCACGTCCTTTTGGCATCCTTTTTAGCAGCATCTGCTATAGTGGTATTTTTTGCAGCATCCGTCTCTGTGGGAGTCGGAGAGGACTCGGCACCCTGTTTGGCAAATCATTTGGTCCACTCGTGCTGAGAATCTCTGGGTGTTGGGTGAGCCTTGAGCCTCAACTGCCAGCCAGTATTGACTTGCGAGGGCGAACAAGAAAAGAGCAAGGAAGAAAACCTTCATCTCTGATCGACTATCTTAACAGAATCTGTAACGACATTTTTTTTCCAATTAGAAAAACAAAAACAAAAATATGCATAAAGGTTTTGTATAAATAGTATGTTTTTAACAGTCCATTAAAATAACAACCTCAAATTATAAAAGACATCTGACCAAAATCCATTTCCCGTCGTTGTTATATGAAGAAAATAACGCGTAAACAAATTATCGTTACTGTGAGGGGCGGAGTTATCGACCATGTCAACCTTCATCTGTCAAAAGGTACCTCTTGATTGAATCAAGTCAGCAAGTCTTATATACCAGTGAATTGATGTTTAATATTCGTAGTGGTAGTTACGCCACAAAACTCCCCCACCAGAATTTTATCAGATATAGAATTCGATGAACAGACACCACTGGTTGCTGCACTTGTGAAAGACCGGGAGAGAGTCACTGGGTGCTTGAGTGCTGAAAGTGAGAGGTGTATTAACTTCACAGTCGTAGTCGCTCCTGTGTTGCCATTAGCAGTTGAGTGTATGTAGGCCGACGTTGTGTTAAATCGAGACGAGACTGGGTAGCAACAGCATGAGGAGGTGGATGATGCCGCTAGCACAAGTAGCAAGTCAACTGTTCAATGTGAATCATCCATCGAAGTAGGCGATACTGCTTGATCAAATCACGTCCGGGTCACCAATGTGGGGGGGGCGGAGTTATCGACCATGCCAACCTTCATCTATCAAAAGGTACCTCTTGATTGAAACAAGTTGGCATGTCTTATATACCAGTGAATTGATGTTTAATATTCGTAGTGGTAGTTACGCCACAGTACTATTATTCTCCAAGACTTAATGACAATTCAAAGTGATTTATGACTTTCTCTTTTCTATGAGAAGATGAAATCTTATAATCGAAATTTAGATAACTGTCTGACTAGCTAGAGCATTTAAATCTCGACTGTAGCTCTGTACTAGATGAAAATGGAAGTTTCAATTTTTTTCAAATCATATTAAGCAGATATCACGATACAATTGCAAAAGGGAATTTATCATCAATCAAAATTTCGTCTTATTTCAGATTAGTTTAACAGACTAATTGACAGACTGCAAACAAACAGACTAAAAACAAACTTACAAGCATGAAACTAAAAAGAAGGAAAAAAATTAATCAAATAAAAATTTTAAAAATTGCGTTTTCTAAAAGGGCTTATCACTGTTAAAAATTCCCTTCCTGAATTTTCGGGAGGGATGCTTTCGAAGTTTTTCGTTTTAGGTGTTACAAAAAGAGAATTATTTTCATATTTTTTTTAACCTTTTAAAATTTGTAGTTACTTAAATTTTTATTTTATTATATAGATTCAACACCATATAAACGTTTGCCTGCTCGTCAAACGTTGCACTGATGGTCAATTGAGAGAAAAAAATTTAAAATTTGCTTTCTCTAAATAGTCTACAGTAGGCTTTGAATGTAGGAGGCTGATACGATATTTTGTCAAATTTTCTTTGTCAGTAGGAATACTAATTGACTCTTATTATTATTATTTTTGTTTAATTAGATTTTTTATTGAAACATGAAGAGCATTTTTTGAAAATTTTATTGATTACTCTGAGAATATTTTTTTTTTTTGTATTCTGTCGCATGAGATTTTTTTACAGTTCTTAGATTCTTTTATATTGCTGATTTTAATTCTGCAGTTGGTTTCTCTCTGCAAGCTACAGTTTTATTTTTTTTTGTAAATTACATTTTAGTATATTTTTTGGCGAAATGTACAAATTTAAAAACGTTACGTATGACGTTATGTATAATCGTTAAAGCAAATCACCAGGATTAAAATTGTATCGAAGTCGGAAATGTCATTGTATGCGGCTAGGGGCGCTTCCCTCTTATGAATTCCTATTATTCGAATACCCCTTTATTTGAATATCCTATTATTTGAATTATTTCGTAAATATATCGTAGGTAGTAATGTTTTTATGTTTATATGAAAGTCTAATTGTGATATTTCAATAAGCATTAAAAGTGCAATGTATGTGCTGTAAAACTATCTTAATGCGGATATCTTGCCGCATAAATATGGGAACAAGAACATAAGAGTGCATAAATAAGTGTATTTCACTATAATATTCGCGACTATTTATATACAACGCAACAAAATGGTTTAAAGTTCATTTTAAATAAAACATTTATTTAGCGGAATTAGTAGGTACAAGCATAAAATATTTTAAAACGGAGTATTATTTTCACTGATTATAACAAATATTTTTTAGGAGGATCAGGTTCTGGGATGAAATTTAAAAACAAAAAATTATTAGCAAAAAATTACATTTTTACAAACACTCCTTATTCTATACAAATTAGCATAATTCGAAAGAATGCTTAATTTATCCGCCAAAATATTTTTTGTTAAATTATTTATTTTGGGGACTTAAAGATTAATTAATCATTCAAATAAATATTTAAGCATTTTTATAGACACGGTTCCTTGCGTTGGGGAGAACCCGATTCGTCAAAATTTCACCCGCCTTCTTTGTGAACGAAGTTATAAATTTTATTCTCTGATATTGCAGATTTAATTTTCGTGAAAAATGTACTAAAGATTTATAACATGCAAAAATTCAAACGAATATTCGGAAAAGTATCACTAATTAATAACACATTATGAAAAAAATTCATATGATTTAATAAAAATTAAACTTGGCAAAAAAAAACATATTATACGAGAAATTTTACTTTAGTAATGTTGAATAAGCGATAAAGTGCGCTAAAGAAAATGCAGCAGAACATATAAATTAATCGAAATATGTCATTAGGGAGCTTTTTCATCTTGAAATATACATGATTTGATATAAATGTTTGAATGAGAATTTTATTGTGTCACAGAGATGGAACACAAAAATTACAATATTTCATCTTTGTTAAGTAAATAAACTGTATAACTCAATGATTATGAATTTGTAACTCATTAATTCAAGAACCTTTTAACTAATGAGCTTAATTAATTTAGCTTGTATTTCTTGAAAACAATACAGAATCTTTAATTAATAAGACTTAACGAAAAAATACTCATGATTTAATAAAAATTAAATTTGGCGAAGAAACAAACATATTATATGAGAAATTTTACTTTAGTAAGGTTGAATAAGCGATAAAGTGTGTTAAAAGAAATGCAGCAGAACATATAAATTAATCGAAATATGTCATTAGGGAGCTTTTTTTATGGTGAAATATAAAGGATTCAAGACGAGNACTACGAACAAACTTACAAGCATAAAACTAAAAAGAAGGAAAAAAATTAATCAAATAAAAATTTTAAAAATTGCCTTTTCCAAAAGGGTTTATCACTGTTGAAAATTCCCCTCCAGGATTTTCGGGAGGGATGCCTTCTAAGTTTTTCGTTTCAGGTGTTACAAAAGAAGAATTATTTTCACATTTTTTTAACCTGTTAAAATTTATAGTTACTTAAATTTTTATTTTATTATATAGATTCAGCTCCTTATAAGCGTTTGCCTGTTCATCAAACGTTACACTGGTGGTCAAATGAGAGAAAAAAAAGTTTTAAATTTACTTTCTCTAAATAGTTTACAGTAGGCTTTGAATGAAGGAGGCTGATACGATATTTTGTCAAATTTTCTTTGTCTGTAGGAATACTGATTGACTCTTATTATTATTATTCTTTGTTATTATTGCTTATTGTTTAATTATATTTTTTATTAAAACATGAAGAGCATTTCTTGAAAATTTTATTGATTACTCTGAGAATATTTTTTTTTCCTGTATTCTGTCGCATGAGATTTTTTTACAGTTCTTAGATTCTTTTATATTGCTGATTTTAATACTGCAATTGGTTTCTCTCTCCAAACTACAGTTTTTTTTTGTAAATTACATTTTAGTATATTTTTTGGCGAAATGTACAAATTTAAGAACGTTACGTATGACGTTATGTATAAACGTTATGTATGTAAACGCTATGTATGGAGGTAGCATAAAAGTTGCCACAAACTTCTAAGGAAGTTAAAGCAAATCATCAGGATTAATATTGTATAGAAGTCGGAAATGTCATCGTATGCGGCTAGGGGTGCTTCCCTCTTATGAATTCCTATTATTTGAATGCCCCATTATTTGAATATCCCATTATTTGAATTATTTCGTAAATATATCATAGGTAGTAATGTTTTTATGTTTATGTGAAAGTCTGGTTGTGATATTTCAATAAGCATTAAAAGTGCAATGTATGTGCTCTGCAAAACTACCTTAATGTGGATATCTTGCCTCAAAAATATGGGAACAAGACGATAAGAGTGCATAAGCAAGTGTATTTCACTATATATGCGACTATTTATATACAACACAACAAAATGGTTTAAAGTTCATTTTAAATAATACATTTATTTAGCGAAATTAGTGGGTTCAGCATATAATATATTTTAAAACGGAGTATTGTTTTCATTGATTATAGCAAATATTTTTTAGGTGGGATCAGGTTCTGAGATAAAATTTTAGAAACATCTCAGCAGAAAATTACATTTTTACATACACTCCTTATTTTATATAAATTAGGTATTAGCCTAATTCGAAAGAATGTTCAATTTATCCACAAAAATATTTTTTTACATTAAATAATTTATTTTTGGGACTTAAGGTTTAATTAAACATTCAAATAAAAATTAAGCATTTTTATACACGCGGTTTCTCGCGTTGGTGGGGGGGGGGACAGGAGGAAGCGTTAGATTCTGATTCGTCAAAATTTCTCCCGCCTACTTCGTGAACGAAGTTATAAATTTTATTCTCTGATATTGCAGATTTTATTTTTATGAAAAATGTCTTAAAGATTTATAACATGTAAAAATTCAAATGAACATTCGCAAAATTATCGCTAATGAATAACACATAATGAAAAAAATATATATGATTTAATAAAAATTAAACTTGGCCAAAAAAAAAAAAAAAAAACGTATTTTACGAGAAATTTTACTTTAGAAAGGTTGAATAAGCGATAAAGTGTGCTAAAGGAAGTGCAACAGAACATATAAATTAATCGAAATATGTCATTAGGGAGCTTTTTTCATCTTGAAATATATATGATTTGATGTAAATGTTTGAAAGAGAATTTTATTGCGTCACAGTGATGTAACACAAAAATTACAATATTTCATCTTCGTTAAACAAATAAACTGTATAACTTAGTGATTATGAATTTGTAACACATTAATTCAAGAACCTTCTAACTAATGAGCTTAATTAATTCAGATTGTATTTCTTGCAAACAATACAGAATGTTTAATTAATAAGACATAATGAAAAAATACTCATGATTTAATTGGCGAAAAAAAAAACAAATATATTATATGAGAAATTTTACTTTAGTAAAGTTGAATAAACGAAAAAGTGTGTTAAAATAAATGCAGCAGAACATATTAAATTAATCATTAGGTCGCTTTTTTAATCGCAAAATAAATATGATTTAATGTAAATGGTTGAATGAGAATTTCATTGTGTCACAGTTATGTAACACAAAAATTAAAATATTTCATCTTCGTCAAGCAAATAAACTGTATAGCCTAATGATTATGATTTTGTAATGCATTAATTAAAGAACTTTTTAGTTAATAAGCTTAACTAATTTAGCTTGTATTTTTTACAAACAATCTTTCAAAATAAAATTTTAATGAAAAAGGTTATAATTAATTTTTTAAATTTACATAATTAGATTTTAATCTTTTAGATTTGCTTAATTTTTTAACTTTTAGTTTTGTCTTTTAATTTTAAATTTCCATGATTATTTCTGAACCTCAATTTCGAATATTATTTATTTATATATCTAAGGGATTATTTTTTTATCAAAAAAATATATTTAATTTAATTTAAATTTCCAAATGCAAATTTCATTGGGAAGAGAACAATGGAAAAAAAATCATAAAATTGCAATTTTTTCAAATAAATAAACTGTTCTAAAGAAAACAATGATTTTCTAAGACATTATTGATTTAAAAACTTCACTCAATTTGTATTTTAAACAAAAAAGATTAAAAATATTTTTTTAATTTTAATATTGTTTATATTGTTTAAATATTTTAATTTAAATATTGTTTATAATTAATTATTTATAATTAATTGTTTAAAGTTTTAACTCTTCATCATTATTTTTTTTAATTTACAAATATTTGTTATTAGTTTTTGATGAAAATTAAATATGTTATGAATTTATTTAGCTTAAAAAAATATTTTCTAAATAGTTCTAAAGGTTCTTTTAAACCATAAGTGATTGAAGGTTCTTTTAAACCATAAATGATTAAAGGTTCTTTTAAACCATAAGTGAAAGGAAGTACCATAGCTTAAACTCATATTTTTCACTATTTAAGTACATGAAAAATTATGAGAATGTCGATAATTATAATAGTAAAAGTAACTCTAATTAATGACAAAGATATATTGAATTCTGAGTTATATAATAAAAATCAAGCTTCTATCATTAATAAACGTAATATGTTATAATTCATGCAGATTATTTAGACTCTAATAATTTAAAATATTATATCGGTAGAATGCTACTCACCTAGAGGCTAGAATAATATTCAACGTTTGCAAATAAGAAGTATCAGCTCCGAGTGAACATTCACCCATTTATATAGAGTGTCGCCCAACCTACATTTCCAAAAAACCTTTCTTCTCCCCCCATAAGAGAAAAGTTCGAATAAAACATTAAAATAAGTGAATGCTTAAAAAGAATAATCGTTTGATAATACAGAATGAATTACAACTGTTTCCTGTGTGCTCTCTCAACTCCACTTTTTCTTCCGGAAGATCATTTTTTGTGACCTGGGGCCCCCGAACTTGATGTGTGTCAGTAGTATGCATTTCACTGTTCTGTAGCAACAAGGGGTGTATCTCTGTCATTATGCGGTTGGCCGTAAACAAGCCATTTCGAATAGAATATTTTATTTATTTATTTAGTTTAGCCTGAACCCTAATTTGAATTTTTTCTTTCACTTATGCATACGGCACGCGTTGCTGTGTTTGTCACAATTTATGACGTCTGTGAGTATTTCCATGGTGACAGGATTCTAAAGCGATGATTTATGAGATTCAATTTTTATTTTTCCAAACTCAAATACTTTTACCCCGGTTTTGATTTTTGGAGTCATTCACCGGTGTAATTTATGCATCAAAAGTGATATGCTAAATTCTGAATCAAAACTGAAAGTAACTGATGGATAAATTAACAAACTTGAGAACACTTTGAAAAGAATATTTTTTTAGCATTTTTTATAAATGTATGATAAAATTCAGAAAGGAAGACTTAGTCCAACTCATTCATAGCTTACTTTGATTTAACGAGATTCCGGTTTTAACGAGGAAATTTTTAATAAATGTTCCCAAAATTACGATGTCACAATATAATGATGAGCAATTTCATATCCACTCCATTGATCACTGAAATGAAAATTTAAAAAAAAAAAGTAAAATGAATTCTACAGCCTTTTTGGAAGTAAATAATACTGAAAGAAGGGAAACGGCCAAATATAAATAAAATAAAGGAATAAATATTTTTACACGAGACTCGGTCACTTTAGGCAATATACCCGCGATATAAATTACGAACATAATTCTGATATAATAAAGAATTTTTTTTAAACACCTTGGTATTTACTTTATTGAAACATGGTGAAAAAAGAGTATTGGAGTTAAAGGAAATTTAATTTTGATCCAAAGGATTTAAAACCAGCCTTTTAGTTCAATTTTTTTAAAAAAAAACTGCATGTAAATAAACTATGTGAATTTCTTCATGTATCTTAAACCGAACAATTGAAATAACAAAACGAATAATGATTTTAGGCAAAACCGATGAATAAATTATTTAACTATTGTTGCTCTTGTATCTACGTGGCAAATGTTTGTCAAATATAGAATCTTAAAGAGATTTTAAGAAACACTGAAGTCACCGTTTTCTACATCCCAAGGCATGAAACTAGCGGAGAAATGTCAGACTTTCTTGCAATCAATAGGTATCCACACATGCATTTCAAGCCATGAGTATTGCATACCCAATGATTGTAGTCTAATTCGGACTTCTTTTTGTCTACATTTCAATCAAATATATACAATGAGTTACTCTTTTTGTCTTGAAATTGAAACAACAAGCCATTAGGAAAATAAACAAGTGTTTGGTAATTTTTCAAAATTTTGAAAAAGGCGGCTAGTTTGTGAAGCAATAATGGAAATAGAATCTGAATTCATTAAAAAGAAACAAATACTTCGTTAAATGCTACTTAAGTTATCAGAATCGATTTAAAGAGATAAGTACGCCAGGACGAACTACCTGGGCAATCGGAAGCAACAAATTCATGTCAAGATACATATTGGAAATAGAATCTGAATCCATAAAGAAGAAACAAATCCTCCTAGAAATACTGTTAAAGGCACCAGAATCGATTTAAACGGGTAAGTGCGTCAGGACGGACAACCTGGCACTCGAGAGCATCAAACAAAATACACAAATATTGGATATACAATTTGAATATCTAAAGAAAAACAAACACTCTGAAAAATGTAGCTTAAAATATCAAAATCAATTTAAAGACGTAAGTACGTTGGGTCTTACCCTGTGATAATGGAAGGCTGCCAATTTATGACAAAACGCACTAATATCGGGTATCGAATCTCAAACCATAAAGACGAAACAATCACTCCGAGACATGCCACTTAAGGTATCAGAATCAATTTAAAGAGGCAAGTACATCGCAGGACTACCTAGCAGTCGAAAGCCTCAAACAAAATACACTAATATCGGAAATAGAATCTGAACTCACAAATCAAATTATTTTATTACTATCTAGATCTAGATGAGCGGGGAATATTTTATTTTGACCATTCCATAGTTCATATCCAGTTATTTATAGTTAAAAAACCATATTTATGAATGAAATAACTTCAATCACTTGTTTGAAAGAGACATCATGCACATATATTTTCTCATAAATTTCAAAAGTGATCTATACTATTGTTGACTAGCTATTGTTGAATGCTTTGTGTAGTAAAAATATACAAATTAATTTCCGGAGAATCTCTTCGTTACAAAACCAATTGTAAAGCAATTGATTTGTTTCATAATGTGAAAAGCTTAGAAAGATTGAACTTTTATTCCTCGACAGAAAGGGAATAAATTGATCACGTTTAGAGACCATTTTTTAAATTATGAATTAAAATAGCATTTATAAATAAAAATTCGACTTATGCAATAATAAAAATTATTAGGAAGCGAAGCCGTGGAGATAAAACTTTTATAACTCCTTTTGACCGACAAACTGCAGATTGAGGGAGTGCTTTATTTTTAACAGATTAACTGACAAGGGTATGAGTATTCACTATCTCTTAACAAAAGTATTACTGGACAAAATTTTTCATCTTTTTTCCCTCTTAAAAACCGATTTATTTCTAAAGAAAATTTTTTTATATCGAATATATATTTATTACAATTTTGTAATAGAACATTTTGTTAATATTTTACTGGTAAAAAAACGAACGATTAATTGAGTATGAAAATAAATGTACCTGAAAATACGGAGGAATACAGAATGCGTGACAATAAGAAGTAATAAATGAGAAATAATTTTAATTGTTAACAATTTAAAATGTTAATCTAATATTGTTCAAATTTGAAGCAGTTTTTATCTCTCTTAAGTCTCAATTTTGATATAAATGTAAAAATATATGTTTGGCAACGTCTAATCTCTTTTTCGTATTTTAATTTTATTTATTCAATGGTTTCTTATTTTAGATATCAAGTCTAGATAGAACTTATACTATAAAGATCTTAAGAGAGTTAAATTAATTTTTCCACGACAATGGATAAATAGTTATCTTATTTTTATAACAATCATTGAACATCCGACACAAATTTTGAGTTTACGACTACCAATGTTCAACTACGTAGCCTTGCAATTTTGAATTCAATCCAGAAGACAAGGAAACTCCTGGATCAGTACCCCCAGATGTATTTATTTGTTATGGGAACTTGGAGGACTTTGTGACTTCGACCGGTTTAACTTGCACCAGTCACCATTTAATACACGGGGATTCTTCGGTTGGCTAGATTCGAACCCCTATTCTCATGAGTCCGATGCCCTACCGACCAGGTAATCCCGGCCCGATAAATAGTTCTTATTAAAAACCTTTAAAACTGCAATAACTTTCCAACAGATTGGAATTTCGAAAGAAAAAAAAACTTGAATGAGGTTTCGGAACGGAAATCGCCCTATCTGCTTTTTAAGCTTCAACACTGTTATTGCATTTCAGCGGAGTGTAGATCAGCGCGCATGATATTTTTTACAACAATTTTATCAGTTTATAATTCTAGAAAAAATCTGAAATTATTCTATTCCCTCGTACTCCTTGCACATTTTTTGCACAACTTCCTAATTTCAAATTTCTAAGCCTTATGATTTTTACAGAAATGAAACAAAATGCAACGTGAAGCAAAAAATTATAAACAATTCCAAAGAAAAATCATATTACAATTGCGATAACTTTCGAACGAATAAGAATTTGTTTAAAAAAACTCGTATAAAGAAAATATGACTCCTTAAACATACCAACTTTCAACTCTGTGCTTGCATTTCTGCGGCTTACAGGGCAGCCGACGTAGTATATTACAAGTTTAATAGTAAATAATTCTCTAAATAATTATCAAATGTTGATTTTTTTCTCCATTCCATCGTACTTTGTGTACATATTTCTATACACCTTTGTAATTTCAAGTTTCTGAGTATTGCAGTTCTTGCGCAATTTAAAGTTGTTTGTTAAGTTACACTCAAAACGATTAAAACTTACGATTTTTCGATGTAGAACGTTACTAATTACGGATTATTAATTTACTAATATACGAATATTATCCCTAGTTAGATGAAACAAGTAGGTATTAGTTCTGATACAATAATCGATCCAATTTTCTTGCTTTAGAAAGATTATAGCTAGATTATATGAGCTTCCTTCATTAAGAAAAGAAGTTACCAGATTATTCGTTATTTATTTCCCTTATGTTTTTAAGCATGTTGTATATATTTTAAAAAATAGTTTGAGATTCTACTTTCAAATCAACGAAGATTGATTTCTAAAACACTTACTGTATATGTTAGTACTATTAAACATATAAATATTACATAGAATTGCCATGATTTCAGTGGCGTTCAAAAATATGGCGTTCTTGGCAATTGATAAGATGTGCTTTTTGGCAAATTGACTCCTCAATAAGATGCTCCTAAAAAAGAATGTTATCACTGAAGGGAGCAAAGAACTCCAACTAAAAACAACAGGAAATATATCTTTATTAAAATTTATGTATTTCATGTAAATATAAGAGGAAATTTCAGCTAAAGTAATTATTATTTAAAACAAAATACTCTTTTTTATCGTAAAAGTACAGAATATTTAAATTTTTTTAATCTTTCGTATTTTCTTAATGAAATCATAATTAATAACAATAATGGTAACAAATTTAAAGTTTTAGTTTCATTGGAATTTTTCAATTTTATTCTTTTTTTGTAGGATGCTCTCCCCCCCCCCTCTTTGGACAAAAAAAAGGTGTGATTTCTAATGTACTAAGTGAAAAAAAGGTGTAATGTAGCAGGGGTGGAGAAAGAGCAAATCAATGAAAGAAAAATCTAATAATTTTTTGGGTGTAAGAAATAAAATCGTTACAAATATTTACTAAGTAGTCAGCGTCTTACCACGCAGATTACCGCAATGTTTTATTTCAGATTTTTAATATAAATACATGCGTTACATATGTGCTAACTTCCACTTCTTTTTAGGCCTCAC